CCTACCTCTCTCTCTCTCTCTCTCTCTACAAGTTAACCCCTCTCTCTCTCTCTAACAAGTTAACCCCTCTCTCTCTCTCTAACAAGTTAACCCCCCCCCCCCTCTCTCTTTCTCTATAGAAATTAGACTCTCTCTCTAACCAGGTACCAATCCCAACCGCCGCCTCTCCACACGTGCGGCACCTTCACGCGTGGTCCTCTCCCACTACTTCCTCTCCAAACGCTTGCCCTTACACACGAGCGTGTATCTTCATGGGTGGCCCCACATCCAATCGAGTTATTCAAATATTTCGGTCGAAATTTCGCTCTTTAAATTTCGGCGAGGTTGATTGAAATTGATCTTGGGCAACTTACACGAGGGTTCCATTATCCAAATATAGGGAGGATTTAGGCCAAATTTCACTGAGTTCACTATTTTGATTCTATTGTTTTACTGTAAAGTGGTAATTACCGTAATTAATCTCTTCTCAACGAATTTCCGCTGAAATAACGAAATTTCGGCGCAATATTTTGGCATATATCCTCAAAATATTTAAAGTAACTTGCGCCACCATTTTGCCTGACCTTGAGTCAACCATTTGTATTAACAAAACGTCTAGGAATCTTGATTACGATGTGATATCACACTTCTCAAAAACGCAGGAACCAGGGTTTCGAAAGGTTCGGTGACCCGGATCGGCCCATCAAAAAATGGGGCAATTTGACCAAGTGATCTGAGAACAAAAAACATAAAAAATGTTAAAAAATAAAGTGGAATCAAATGTGTTATGGCAGAACTGGCTGACTCCCGATATTTAAGTAGAACTAGACTGATTTAGACAATTCTCGATCCGAACAAACCGGTTTCAGTCTATTTTGCGGACTTTTAAAACCTTGGCTGCAACCAAAAGATCACATGACATGTCTTTTGGAGCCCTTTTCTTTCTAATTAATAGGAAACGTATACACCATCACTATTTATTTTTGGTATGAGAAAGATCGTAGGATGTAAAATTAAGCTTGTAGGGATGTGTCTTTGATTCGGGATAAAGTCAAAAATATAATTTTTTCAATTGTATGGCATACAGATTTCACCTTTGATGGTTAAAGCTAATCATGGCCCCCTTGTATTAAACGTGAATTGTCTTATCATATACAATTACTAATATATACTCCTTAACACCATAATAAAAGATAATTATATTTTTGTGCGCCTAAAGTATCCCTTCCTCTACAATGAACCCCTCTCAAGCAACCGAGCAGTTCATCTCCACCATCTATAAGCGAGATTATTCGGTGGAGAAAACTTTATCCATGCACATTAAAGTGTACATCGTACGCCTTCATTTGTATTATTATTCAAAGATTTATTATTAGGTACATTATCAAAACCAGTGTTTGAATAGTCATAATCAGTAGGAGTTTGATATCCCCGATCCAGCTTAGGTGGGTCTTAACTCCAGTGAACGGTAGGAAATTCCAAATAACAAGATCCAAATTTTTTAAAAAATGGGGTGTTCAAGACAATTTTGTGAGGTTTATTGATCTAGATTTGACAGCCATGTAAATTAGTTTAAGTCTGAGTCACTCTGGCAATTTTTTAAAGAGAAATTTATCAAATTACCCATGGTAGATGAACAATTTAACACCTTATATCTTTTAATTTAATTTGACTTGGAATAGTTGTAGACTGGGTAGAATGCTAAATGGGTCAACTTTCATTGTTACTTGATATATTTCTTTTTTTTCTTAAATACCTTGGACATAATTTAGGCTTCATCTCCAATGGAATTGACATTGAATGAAAATAATAGCAAAATAGACCTTATTCTCAAAACATATTCACATCTCAAAGCAAATATTTTTCTCTAGCTTTTTCTTATCTAGTAAAATTACAATAGTTAAAAATCTTTGGATCAGTATTTTAAAACTTAGCAAATAAGAATATGTTAGCACCAAATCAGTTCTAAGATGTTATGGGTTCTAAATAAACTTTTCTAAAACCATCTTAAGTATATTTTAAAAAAAAAACTTATCTACTATTTTTTTAGGTCTATACCAATCCTACTTTATAATTTTTTATTTTTATTTTTATTTTTATTTAATTCACACCAATCCAGACTCAATTCAAATCGCTGACCTAACACCAATATATAAGCAAAACCTCTTAACCGGTTTGGATCCAAGTTTTGAAAGGCCGCTCTAAACTTTTTGTTGGACAGCTAGAAATTGTAAATATGGAGAAAATGGTGATAGTGAAAAAATTTAGAGGGGCCAACCTCACAAGACCCACTAAATTCCGATTCGTGTCCATTGTAGCCAGTAGAAATTTCCCACGTGGCAGGCCCACTGCACGAAGTAACGGACGCGCCGCGATGACGCAAGCCGAGCGGGCCCCGCGCGCCGCTGATTTGAAAAGGGCCGTAACGTGAGAGAGAGGGAGAAGCCACTGTTCCTTTTCACTATTTAAGTATCACGATTTTATTAATTTTTTATTTCTATTTTTACGCTACAGGGAAAAAATAAAGAAATAAATTAAAAAAAGGGAAACATTTGCTATGCTTTTCTCTCTCTCCTCACTTTTAAACTGAGCCGATGTATCGGAAACGGCGCGGAGCCGCGCCGCCCGGCTCCTGTCTGGTGTATGTGTTAAGTGAGGCAACCACAGGGCCCCCTCTACCCCCTAGACCACCACGTGGCACTCTGGCAACCGTACGATGGGCACCGCGTTAACGTTTCACCGACGACAAGGTTCAGAAAAATTCATTTAACGTACATAACGTGAACTGCTGCGTTCCCTGTAACTGGATTGGCTGTTATGTAGAATTCATACCGGAGCTCTCTTCATACGATTTGGTGCCATATAAAATTACCTGGTGTCCTGAGTTTCAAGTAAAGAAAAACAATGCGGTTTTAGTGTCGAAAACCTTAGGATAGCTTAAACATATATATTTTGATATCAAGTTATAAGATTTAAAAAATGAATAAAAGTACAGACCAAGCATATTTATAAACACTTGAAAATAGACAGTGAAAATGATTTATTAAAATATATATTTATAGTATTAAAATTATTAATTTTTATCGTATTCATACATCTTGAGCCCAAGATGATCAAATTTAATAGTATTTTAGCATCGTAAAACTCTCTTCTAGAGAACTTTTGAACCTTACTTCTGTATTATAAGGTTGGAACCTTATATAATTTTTTTTAATACATAACCATGAAATGTGATTCAATAGAGTAAAGATGGGGAAGTAGAAATGTACAAAATACTGGAGTAATAACAATCATAAGAAATATTTAACACAAGAAACACAAGATTGTGTGTTGGCCCGAGAATAGGCTTAGATGACCCGAACTAAATCTAGTAGATATGGATCACCATAATGGCCGAATAGTGCTTTTATTTTGAGTATTTTTTTCTTTTAATAAATCCAATAAGCTTAAAATTTTTTTGGGCATTCTAAAAAATAACAAACTATAGCTACACAAATAATGACAAAACATGTCAACCATTATCATTGACTCCTAGCCATCCGATAGTTCAATCTGCACCCTTTGGCCCATAACTTTTCCGCGGGATCGCGCATAGAATCCATATCCTTTTAAAGAATATATTACTATACTAAGAATATCCATTTCTGAATGTCCATTCTTTTCAGTACTATGAGAGTTATGGCCATAGCAATTGTTGAAAAATTCGAACCGGGAAAGAGGGCCGTTAGCCCACTCTGTGCATACCATTTTTTAATGAAACACCCGTTATTCTTTGTAGCACCGTTTTATTGCCCCCACACCGTTATATTTTCATATAGCCAGCTGTGATCTATCTCGGTAATCCTACGGCCCAAATTCGTTTTTGTATTTAGATGCAATTCGTCTTACGTTGCAGAACGACCGGCTATAGCAGGTCACGTGTGTCCCACTCGTGCAGTCAATGCATGAGAATCAGCAGCACGGGCTTATTATTTAATGAGATTAAAAATATTGAAATATTGTTTTTTTATTGCGTCGTGTTTGTGAAGGTTGGGAAAAAGGCCTGCTTGGGTGGTGCAGGCTAAGAAGCCTCAAAATATTTTATCA